ATTCTATTCTATTCTATTCTATTCTATTCTATTCTATTCTATTCTATTCTATTCTATTCTAAAAGAGAAACATCTTGCTTACACTTTTCTAGACCTCGTGTTACAAAGAAATGCAAACACATTGCAAATGTATTACAGCAGGAGATCATAATCATTTTAAGCCGGTGGGCAGATCTGAAATACTGGGACCATGTACTGGGCATTCTCATCAAATAATTCCCAGGGTAGGAATGGCCATACCCATAGATGCATTTATCAGAAGGCCAACCAAGCAGTGGGCTGTAGACACACCCTTATTATTGTCTAAGAATGTTTAGGTTGCGTTCAAATTATGCAACATACAGACTTGTCAGAGAAAAGAACTAAGGAAGGCAGAGAGCGGGACACGATCAAGAAACATGTCGTTTAGGATTACAAGTAACTGCAAAGCTAATGGCAAAGCATTAGACATTTTCTAGACAAATGTGAAATGAGACCCATTGGGTTGCAGACTGACCTGAGCAATGTTGGCCTGGGATGCTAAGCGAATCATGATATCGAGTTTCTCCAGTTTCACGTAGATGGGGTCATTGTATTTCACAAAAAACACCTTGATCTCCTGCTTCAGGATTTCAGGCCTGGGAAAGGAATTGAGCACACATGCTAAAATGATCACTAAGCTGCACTCTTGTCCATTCCTGACGAAAGGCAGGTTTGCATTTGTTCTCCAGTTAAAGAACTGCCATGCAACCTAACAGGAGATGTGAAAGCAACCCAAGTCAGTTTCCCATCACCTACTTGCACCTCTGAATTCGTTGGATTATAGTATCCTAGTTAGCACAAACCCTGTGCTGGCTGGGAATGATGGGGGATATAATCCAACCTACCAGGAAGTCTGGAAGGTGAGAAAAGACGTATTAAGTCATCTGCAAATAGAGTGCTCCAAATTTGTCTGATTTCCCCCCTTTAGCAGCATTTCAAACTATTCACCAGGAGTGCACTCTTTGTTAGCCAATGCCATTAAATAACTCTGCATTAACATATCCCAGAATACCAGGATCTGTCCAGGTTAGACAAACAAAACTGTCTTATAAGCAATTGTTCAATCTGAATCTTTGAAACTACATCCTTCCTTGTTCCTGACCTTTTCTGCACAATCAAGTTGATGTTCCTCAAAGCAACATATTGGACTTCAGGCTCGCCAGACAGCAAGGTGACCAGGGGAGGGGCCAGTTTCTTCAGCAGCATGTTGTAGTAGTCGGAATCCTTGGGAAGGAGCTCTAGGAACTTCATCAGCACTTTGACAGCCGAAAGCACAACAGCGGAGTTGGCATGAGAGAGGCGAGGTGTCACCCGTTCGCATATGCTGCCAAAGAAGAGATACAAGAATAGAGGCTAAGGCTGTTCTTTCCTCCCAGAAAACCTTGGCTATGCTGGAGAGACACATTTTGATAACTCCAAATTAGCGAGCAACAGAGTGGCGTTTTTGTGAAAGGCTTTTGCTGGGTGGAATTGAATATCCCAATAAGTAGATCCTTGAGAGTCCTGACTACAATATTTTCTGTTGATAGTCATAGATGCTAATAGAGAAGCAGACAAGCAGCACATATTGGAAGATAGCAAATTTACCACTGGATAGTTCCCAACATCTGGAAATAAAACTGGATGAGATGCAATCGGAAATACCTGGATTAATGAACTGCAGATTGTTTTCCTACATTTGCTTATTCTCAGCCATTAAACAATAGCTCAAAAAGAGACATTTTACCGTTCTCCTAAAGTGCACTGAGAATCATCACTAAAGGGGGGAAAAAAGTTTCACTAAAGGCAACCCACAAAAGTGTCACAATAGCTGTCATTTATCTGGCCCTTAGAAAACAAGCTCAGAGGCCAAAATTAAGTCACCTTCAAGTCAAGCTTGACTCCTCATCACATGGAGATACCTGAACAATTTTCTTGCCGACAGTATAGAAGTAACCGTCTGTGATTTCCAAGATGTTTCTCAGCTTCAAAATCTCTGTTGCTATGCTCCTGGGATTCCCTGGTAGCCTCAGATCAAGGTACTAATTGGGCCTGATACTGCTTAGCTTTGGATGCTAGATAAGAGGGTCCGGGTATTGCCACCTATTGGGATAATACGGTTGGCAGTTCTCAGTTCATGGGATGGCAGAAAGAAGACTGTTATCATCTAACTTCTGCTTCACATCACAGTCTTCCTACGCCCCTTCAAAATCTGCTCTGTAAGATCTGGTTAAGTCTGCGGAGCGATAAGAGTGGGAAGTGGGAAGGGGAAATCACACTCTCTCCTGCTCCAATTACAGAAACCTATCTTTGGATAACTCCCAAAGAAAGTTTTGAAGGTCTGCATGCCAACTCGGTTGATGCTTTAATATCGACACTGGACTTTCTCGATATCTGGTTTTAATGAGAATGTAGCTCTACTCACAGAAGCTTCTTGGACAACTTGAGGCCAGTTGCTTTGCCCTAACACAACCCATTTCACAGAGTTGATGTTCTGGGGGAAAAATAGGGAGTGTTCCCAGTGGTGGGCTGCAAATTTTTTAACAACCAGTTCTCTGGCTGGGTAGGCGTAGCCGGTTGATCATGTGACTGGGCGGGTGATGTCACTCATCACACCCAGCCCCTCCTCCCAGCCCCTCGCCTCAAAAGAACAGGTAGGATTCAGCCGGTAGGGGCTAATCCCACAACTGGCTGGCCCTGCCCCCACCCAATTTTTGGCCTGATTTTGGCTGGAAAAACAGCCTGAAAAACAGGCTGTTTTTCAGGCTGTTTTCCCAGCCAAAATCAGCCTGGAAACGCCCCCCAAAACTGCCTGAAAACAGCCCAAAACCAGGCAGTTTTCCAGGCCATTTTTCAGGATGAAATCAGCTCAAAACCAGCCCAAAAATGGCCTGAAAACAGTCTGAAAATCAGGCCATTTGGGGGGCTGTTTTCATGCTGACTTTTTGGGCCTTTTTCATGCCGTTTTTTGCCCAAAAATGGTCGAAAACCAGGCGGGGGCAAGGCCAGCCAGTGGTCCAATTTGCCAGTTCTCTGAACCGTGCAGAATTGGAACAAGGGGTTCAGGCAAACCCGTTCAAAGCTGCAGCAGCCCACCTCTGAGTGTTCCACAATGCTATAAGGTATACAATACATAAAAATTATACAAGTCTGCTTCTTGAACATGCCATTATTCTATATGCTTCAAAGAGTTATTGAAGAATAACCAAAGTTAACAACTGTCTACCTAGGATTTAATTATACTCTAAGCAATTTTTATACTGACAGTGATAAAGATGGTCTAAGATGAAAAACAGCAATTATCCTGATCTGAGAAGTCACTGTCAAAAAGAACTAATAATAAGCCACTCTCTTAACTCCCAAGGTTGAGTAAGGTGACTGACAAAATGGTAGCTTCTCAACTGCAGGCAATTCTGGAGGCTGTAGAATATCCTCCTGACCCATTTCAAAAAGGTTATGTGATTGAGACTGCTTCTGGTTCTATTTATCTAAGGATCAAGAGAAGACAGGTGATTCATTCTTGATTTCTCATTGTTTTTAGATACCATTAAACATAATATCCCTCAGAATCATCAGACACATTTGGGAATAGAACACATGGGTTTGCAATGGTTCTACAGGAGACTCCTCACATCACTACCACAATGGAACATGGCATTTTGCTTGTAAGTTGTTGCAGTCATAAGTTGAGGCATCATGTGGCTGAACTTAAATTTTATGACCATTTTTACAACAGTCGTAATGTAAGTCAATGCGGTTCTAAAGCGAATCAAGAGGCCATTATGTGAATCCAGCATATCCAATGGGTGTTTCTTTCTTTCTGGAAAAGGGCAAAACTGGCACAAATCACGATTGCATGGCTGCGGCATGTTACAATCGGTCATAAACCGGTTTTACCTGCCAATCTAATCTTTCATTTTATTTGCATAACTTGTTCATTTTATTTGCTTTTTTACTTGCTGTTCAATTACTTTGAATGCCTCTGTTTTACATTTGTTCTTTATAACTGATGACCAAGAGACTTTGGCAGTTGGTTGTCTATCCAAGTTAAACAAATGTAAGTAAGCCAGGGTTAACTTGCCGTGGTCTGTGAACCCAGCTAGGAACGGAGTATTAGAAAACCTAATGGGGTGGGGCTTCCATAGGTCAGAAGGCATTATATACACCCCGCCACAGTGAAGAAGTCACGGAACTTTTATCAAGCTCTCGGTAAAAGGAAAGGAGAATTCCCATTCATGCAGGGGAGTCACAGATCAGCCTACCTTTGGGCTTCACGGTCATCCTTTGGGTTGTAGTTGGAAAGGCAGTCTAGGATGAATATCTGCCCCCACTCCGTGCATTCATTTAAAGCAGTGAGTAGCTTGTTGATGTTCTGAGGGTTCAGATCTAGCAGGTTGCTATTGGGGTGAGATTCACTGATTTCAGACAAGGCAGCAACAGCATTGGCCACAACCTGGCAGAAAGAGAGAGCAAAAAGCTGGATACTCGGCAGTGGAGCGGAACCTTCAGAATGCTGTTTATTAACTTCTGGAGTCGGTCTGCAGGGCAGATTGAGATTTTTTTTTAAAAAAAATGATTAAGTTGGGCTACAGCCCACTTCCTTTAAAAAAATTCAGATTAACTAATTTAAGTAGAACTTCTGATCAATGGATCAATTCAGCCACATTGTTTGATATTCATATATTGCTTTTCCATATGGACTGACAGGGGTTTACAAAATCCCTGTTTTGTATTCAACCAACAAAAAAATACATAATACTGTACACATATTTATATACTACTTCTCCACATGGGCTGATGTTTACAAAATCCCTTCAATCAATAAAATAAATAAAACAACCTGTAATACAAAATTGATATGTATCCATAACACAGGAATATACATTAAAAAATTAACCCAGAAGGATCTTCCTGGGAGATATCACCCTTTTCTTTATGACATGCACAGAGGCAATGGTTCCTCTGAGATTACACATGACACTGTGTCCACATTTGGCCTTTTGAATCATGATTAAAGAAGATATAACTAGCGGGATTTGCACACTGCACTGTCATAAGTCATGGCCTGTAAACTACAATATGGTAGCCAGATTCACGTAACATACATAAACATCATTATTTATTGGATTTCAGTGCTGCCCATCTCACTCATACTGTGACTCTGGGCATCTCACAATATAGTAAAAGTTTAAAAGTGCAAAAAAACAACAATTAAAATAGAATAAACAGATAATCAAAATTAAAGTTATACAGCTAAAGTGGATCGTTTATGTATAAGAGACACTGTCAACTGCTTAAGGTATTCAAGGACTAGATTCTGGGTGCATGGAAAGGCCCCAGAGTTAAGTTTCAGATTCCGTGTTTTTCTGCAACCCAAGAAGCCCCTCTTTCTGGGTGGCTGGGGAATTCTGGAAGTTGAAATCCACACAGCTTCAAGTGGCTAAGGTTGAGAAACACTGCTCTGGAAAGTTGCCACTTATCTGATCACAGCAGATTCTTTTCTACCATACTATCTGAATGTATTGACCAACAATGAGAATGCTCCTACACTGACTCAAAATTCACAGCTATACCATTTTAAAAGAGGAAAGTAAAATAAGGGGTGTCTTTCCAGGAAAACGGCATCAAAAGTGAATCTATGAAACAGGAGATATGATCAAGCATTTACATTCACTGACTTTGGGGTGCAGTAGTCTATCATTAGGATTCAAAAGCAGGGCACTATACTTAATGTAATTAATTCCTATCCCTATCCTATATAAAAAGAATTTTTTAAAATTCTGGTGTTTTTTTTTTTAAATTAGCCTGTTTTACTTTTACAGCAGAAGAAAAGAGGGAGAAAAATGGATTTCAACACTTTATATCCAGCAGCCTGTGAAAAATGCCAGTTATTGGAGAAAAACTTCTGAGAATGGAAAATCACAGCTGGCCTTCACAGTGGCTGGGAAGATGAAAGAGGCGGAACCACAGGGGTTTTTCCAAAGCTGCCCCCATCCCACGTTCAGAATAAAAGCATATTGGGAGGAGTGGAACATTAGGGATGTGCTGCTTGAGTGAAAAGGAATATGCCATTATGTGCAAATCTGCCTGCTGGGAAAGACTTGGGCAGGTTCAACTCTTTGGGTCTTGCCTAAGCCCTCCCTTGATGCCATTTAGAGGTGTGAAAAGATGGTGATCTACAATCTTTGAGCGTGCAGTAAAGGGACACATTCCCCCTTTCTAGATTTCTGACACTGTGTAGGCAAAGATCAACAATGCAAGAACTGCAAGCCAACAAAGAACTTAACCGGGGGGCTTAAAAAGCAGGAATGATTATATCCAACTGAGATCCCCCTTAACCCCAAACGAACATTCCAGATCACTATCACCAGCTAAGACTGTCTGGCACAGTATTATGCTACATGGACACTAGTCCCTGCAGTTTTCTCGGCAACATTTTGGTCTAGCGGTTAAAGCACCACCTACTGGCTAGAAACCAGAACACTGAATTCTACTCCTGCCTTGGGCGTGAAAGCTGGTGGGTGGCTTTGGGCCAGTCTCTTTCAGCCCAATTTACCTCACAGGATGGTGATTGTTGTGGAGAAAATAGGAGGAGAAAGGTGTTTTCCACCTTGAGTTATTTACAAAAATAATAAAGTCGGGTTAAAAAATTAGTTTGCCATTGTATCTTCCTAAGGCTGAGTGTAACACGCCCAAAGTCACCCTAATGATTTGCACTTAAAGCAGAATTAGAATCCATGGTCTCTCAAATTCCAGCCTACATCCTTAACTACTACAGCAAAGTGTAGTTGTTAAGGCTCTTATATAAACACAGCCAAATGTATTTTGTTATCTTGGATTTAGGGTTTGTCGCTGGGTATAACCTAGACACTCACTGGAGCACAAGAACATACTACCTCAGTTTTCTACCAGAAAGCCCTTCCTTATCAGAAAATCCTTTTTACCCAATGTAAGTAAAATACTTTAAGTCAATTTAAATGTCCTTGTAGTGATTGGGTAATAGGTTCATGTGTAATTATCCAAAGGAAAATCACTTTTACCCAACTTACGCAGATTTGGGAAGCACTGCTTTAAAGTGGACAATACTGCCTTCAATATCCACACCAACTCAACTCTTTGGTTTATAGTATCCATAGTCCTTAACTACTAACCAAGCTAACTGGACTGATGGGAGCTGTTGTTGAAAGCATCCAGGTTGTTTAACGGAGAAATTACTAAAGGATGGGAAGAGAAATGCTTTTGCCCAGGTCAGTCTCTGAGGAAAAAAAAAGCTTTTATTATTCTTTTAAGACAAACAAAGACCACAGTTGCATGGGGACAGATTACAATGTGAAAACAAAATTCCCGAAAACACTTAAAAACAAGGAAACACATAGAGCAAGGCACTGTGAAATAAAAACAATGCAAGGAAATAAGAAATACCTACACTACAGATCAACGTCTACCTTTCCTTGAAGCTGAGTATAACCTTTTCCTTATAACTTGAGGAATCACTGACCATAAAATAATTTCATGCTGCCCTCTAATGGCTCGTTGTTAATTACAATAAAAGTGGTCCAAAGTGCTTCCGATGAGGACTCATAGAAGGCTTAGATCAAATTCTGATCCAGCCCTGCCATGCAGTCAGTTGCTCTCTCAGTCCAGCACTGCAGGTCAAGATACAGTCTTACTGGACATTTACAGAGGAACAAAGCTATAGCAGAAGGCTAATGTCTATTGGTCTCTTTTTGCTTTTGTTGCTTATTCACTTGTCTGATGTGGAACAGCAATCTCCAACTGTCAGGCTTCAAAAATCAAGAATGACATGTATGGTTTCTCCGAGCAGATTTCTTTATGGTTCTTCACCCATAGACAGAATCTTGCCAAACTAAAGTATGCTGTCACCACTATAAAGCATATACACTGGCAACTATTAGGAAAGTCTGAAAGACTAAAAATCCAATGTCCATTCAAAATGGTTTCTCTACAAAAATAACTGCCCTTGAAAAAGAGTTCTAAATTAGCATCCTGGACAGATATTCTCCAGCTATTCCATCCACATTATTTTTTCTACCAGCAGCATGTTGCCTTTCTTCTCTCAGCATTTTGTCCCCACCTGGTGTCCTTTCCCTTGGGATGCTGCTTCCTCAGATTCTGTTCTGTTCTTATAACCATTACTGTTACAGATCTCCTCCTAGCAATCTCCCTGTCTTTCTAAATCATCCCAAACATCTATGATGGCATAGTAGTACACCAATGGCCATAACTAGCTTAGCAATTCATGAGTTCAACAGTCCATCTGCGCTTTAATCTATTTGTGGGTTGTTTCATTGGCCAAAATCTTTCATTTTTTAGAAAAAGGAACATATCCCTTTGTTCCTTCTCTCATCTGTTCCTTTCCACCTGCAGTCTGGATGATGGGCAAGATAAAAAAAAGAAATAAAATTGGCTTTTGGCTCACTCATAAAGCTTCTTGCTGGGGTGAGAGGATAATGTTGCTGAGAAGCCATCAATATTCATGCAAGCAAATCTGAATGGAGGCATCTTAGACAGATGCCTTCTGAAAGCCAGAAGAGTGTATGGTTTTCTATTAAGGGGGGAGGGGGGAACAGTCAGGGAAGAACCAGAAAAAACCAGACTTCAGTGCTACCATCTTAGGAAAACCACAAGGCAATCAATAACTATTGTTTTTTTCCCCCTGCAAATCAGTATCTCAGAAATTTTGTGGCCTCTTGCCAGCACTTACATCACTACTGAGAAGGTTTCCCCTACAGAGAAAGTATTCTGATCAACTTGATCTGCTCCAGAAATGAAAGGAAGAAGAGCTTTAAATTTAACAGTGAGAAACCCATGGCTTAAAATGCTGCATGATACTCCAGAACCCTTTGGAAGTTCTTCTTCTACCTCTGCCCTGAGAATGGATGTGGTGAAATGGGCGCTACAAGCCTTGTAGAGATTGAAGGTACAATGTATTGCAAATTCCTTCAACCCACTGCAAATACTCCTTTGTGGAAGTATCAGGATCAAAATAGATGTCCCAAGTTTCTGCAACACCTAAGGCATCAATTTTTAAACCCACTCAAAATAGAAAAACTGGAAAGCTTAAACGTCTCCTATACAACCCCCAAGCAAAACACAGAGAAAGTACTGTGCCAGAGTAAAAGTTTGTTAATTCATTCTCAAACACTACAGTCCCCTCTTTTTCCCATCAGCTACTCTTCTTCCATAAATCTTTTGACCACCAAATCTTATTTTTGCTACTCCCAAACACCTTTGAATGGCAATGACCAAAAATCCTGGAAACCGGAAACCTGTGAAATTGTGATAGCCCTTAAGTTGGCATAATGACCTAGTATTTAAAAAAAACAAAAACTAAAGATCCCAAATCCAGGAAAAGAGAACATTCTAGCCCTATTCACACATAGAATGATTTTGACAATCATCTCCCTTGACCAATGCAAATGTTACCTGCAGCCTAGTCACAAAAGCTTTTGGGCATAGCTTGGGCACATATGCATAAAGTACCTTAATGTTTCAAGATGTCTTAAATACAAAACTGTGAGGGGAGGAGAGACAAAATGTCTACACAGAAAGCAGTAGATGCCACAAAGCAACCATGGGTGAGAGTTTAAAGAAATAAACATTTCTCAGAAACCTGAATTTTTTTTTAGTGTCACATTCCATTCAGAACAACCAACTTATAGCTCACATGACAGCCCATTTTTTCCGAAGTGTCTTGTCCAAGATGAATTATAAGTTTCTTTTAAAGTAATACTTAATCAGTTAGCATCTTTCAGTTCTAATAAACTGATCAGGGTAAGCAGGCTCACCTTTGCCATAATAACAACCACAATAGCACTTAAGACTTAAATACTACTCCACAGTGATTTACTATAGTCTCTGGATGCTTTTCAGAGTCACCATATTGCCCCCAACAATCTTGAGTGTCAGTGTTCCAATGGAACTCCCCATTTCATTCAACACACAGAAACAACATTCATCCAAGTAGGAATTTATTGAATAAATCATATTGGCATAACTGAGAAAACCTGAATCTGGGAATTCTGGGTTTTCCCTTCCCAATTGAAAATAAAAACCCATCCCCTGCACTCACCAGTCCATCACATGGTACAACCAACCATCGTTCCAACTGGAGATATTCCTCCAGACAATCCTCTCCAGGTGCAGGATAACTTGTCCTTGACTTTTGAGAAGAATGTTGTTGAGTCTAATCTTTCTCCTCTCTATGAAATCCCCCCGCCCCCAAATTCCCAGGCACAAAAATGTGGCGGCCTCGAAGCTTCTAAGTAAAAATGGCTTCCAAGGCTGACACTGAGTTCTCATTTTACCAACTTCAGAAGAAGGGAAGGCTAAGTCAACCTTGAGCTGGTCAGGATTGAACTCCTGGCTTTGGCAGAGTTAGCCTGCAATACTGCATTCTAAATACTGTACCACCACAGCTCCTTAAACATTTAGTTTAAATTTATTTATCAAAACTTGTATGCCACCCATCTCACAAAGGTGACTCTAGGTGGCTTACAGACATTGAATAAAATGTCATATAAAATAATTAAAATAATAAATACAGATCTTATATTTAAATTAAAATAAAACTGAGCAGGGTGAAGAAGGAAGCAATAAAGGGCTTACTCCATCATCCACCTCCAACATGTCACATCCCCATTAGGGCCCCAGACTAGTTGGCATAGCCATGTCTTCAAGGCCTTTTGGAAGCTCAGAAAGTTGGGAGCAGCTCCTATCTCTGGGAGCAAGAGGTTCCTTGGCTGATGGGGAATACAGCATGCCCCTTCTGCCAGCACGGATGAAGCAGACTAATCCCATTGGAATGAGCCAGTTTCTCAGATAGTCTGGACCCATGCCATGCTGCAATTCAAACTGGAAGATCAACAAGGAAGGGACAACTACCAAGTGAAGGTAAAAAAGCAAAATGCATGTAATTTCCTTTTGGTATAAAAAAAGGGATTAAAACTGCTTGCTCAGATTGGAAGGTCCAAAGCTATATACTCCTCACAGTCAGCAACTCAATGTTCCATTTTTGCAAAAACTGGAAAAGACTACATCTAATCTAGGGTCTCCTATCTCCAAAGCATGGCATCTACTAGTAAGATCCAGGTCTTCCCAGAATCAAGCAGTATCTTCCAATAACATCACCTGTTATTTAAAGGAAGTCAATTTCAGTGAGATTAATACTTTACCATGGGATTGGAGTCTGCAATGAGATCACGCAACGAATCCAGAAAGCCTTGATCTTCTACCATTTGGGCATTGATGTCATGAAGTTTGGCCACGCAGACAGCAGCGGTCTTACGCACATACGGGTCTTCATCCTTCAGACACTTCCGGAGAGGTTCACACAAGTATTCAGTGATCTTGTCCACACGGATACATCCCATAGTGCGCACCGCTAGAGCACGGATGAGAGGGTTGGGATCTTCACAGTCCTGGGATGAGAAAATTAATAAATTATGTAGCTGGGCTTTATGTAACAAACATTAAGGATTTTATTCAGCTTTTCCTATTCTGGGTCAAACTACACCTGGAACATCACAAACCACTCTATGTTCTGGAGAAGGGATCGCCAACCTTGGCAACTTTAAGACTTGTGAACTGGGAGTTGAAGTCCACAAGTCTTAAAGTTGCCAATGTTGGAGACCCCTGTTCTGGAGGATTTACATTTGGAAAACTGAAGATCTCTCTTTGGACAGGTGGATTGCCAGAATCCTGAGAATGTAACAGGAGATATCTGGAAGATTTTGCACATACCTAATAGCAGCAGTTCTTAAAAAAAGCAATTGTCCTATCTGCCTCTAAAAGGAGAAAATAATTTCAAGTGTCAATGAGCTCCTACTTACCCAACTTACAGCAACATTACAAAAGGATCAGACAAGTGTTACTATTGTGCAGGGACACCACTAATGCAGATAAGTGGAAAGTTGATTTAAGGAGAAACACACACACACACACACACCCACACACACACAAACTTGTGTTCTGGGTTACATGGGGAGAGAAGAAAAATGATCTTGATCAGGAGCAAGGGCTGAATTAGATAGATTAATCAGAAATGCATTCAGCCCTTTAAACAGAATCCTTAGATTCTGTGATTATTTTTAAGTTTTCTCGTTCCTGAAAAAAATGATAACAGATTTCCAAATGGAACAGACTCCCTTTTGCTCAAAAGTGGATTTTTCCACAGTAAAGAATCCATCCATGTAATTTCTGCTGTCAAGTAAAATTACATCAGCAGCTGGGAAATCAATGGCTTGGCAATTAACTATACTGGCTTCACTCAGCATTGGATAGAAAAGAAACTTGAGAAAGTCAGCTGGGACAGAGCAGTACCATTGTAAGATTGCAGCTTGGAAGCTTGGGGGGGGAGGGGAAGGAAAGGAGGTAAGAACCTTTCTAAATAAAAATGTAATGAGTTCGAATATTGTGCAAAGTCCTTCACTCACTCACACACACACACACACACACACACACACACACACACACACACACAGACACACTCCTGGCCAAATGATTTAGTTAAAAATACATTTGGAGCATGTGAGCCGAGCCACTGTAGTATCAAACAAGCGTGTTGTACTTCAGCCCTAAGACCTGGATTCAAATCTTTACAGAGCATGCTGTTTTTCTCGCTAGGTTTACATACTACATTAAATGTGGTTTGTTCAACTGTTTCTTGAATAAATTATCATTGTGTGGGCTCATACAATACATAAACTTAGTCATTCACTTTTTCTGTCTTTCTGTCTTGATTTGTATTCTAAAATAATACCGGTAATAAAAAGAATCATAACGAGTGCCAGTTTGATGTAGCGGTTAAGGTGCTGGCCTGGAAACCAGGAGACTGAAAGTTCTAGTCCCATCTTAGGCATGAAAGCCAGCTGGGTAATTTTGGGCTCTCTCTCAGTCTACTCTCCCACAGGGTTGTTATTGTGGGGAAAACAGGAATATTATGTTCTCCACCTTGAGTTCTTTATAAAAATAATTAAGGTGGGATATTAAATAAATGAATAAATAAAATAAACAAACAAATAAAATATGTGTGACTCTAAACTTTTTCAAACTAGGCAGAGATGAAAAAGAGGGGTTATTTGGGGTAAAATAAATTGCATATCTACATAAGGAGCGCCCTTACTGAGATCCATGCATATCTCCGCCATCATGCTGTCCATATACTTGTATACTACCCAGCTCATATGGCTCTGGGTGATTTACAGTATTAACATATTGAGAAACACCAAATTATTATTTTCCTACTGAAGTGCAGCAAAGGCGCATAAATATTGCAAACTTACTTTCACAAAACTGTTCACAGCCATGATGGCCATATCTGGCTGACTTTTGGCATAGTTCATCAAGTAGAGATACACCAGCTTCTTTAGCTCCAAGTTATCTGTCTGCATACAATTCACTACATCAGGGAAAAGGGAACTAGACAAGAAGGACAACTAGGTTAAAGCAGTAATTTCTAGACTGATGGCAGGGGTTAATATTCACTAGAGAGATTCAGATTTAAGACCCCATTTCGTTAAATAATTTCTGGTGATTTTGGGTCTAAGATTCTCCCAGCCCAATCTAATGCATGGTATTACTGTAGAGCAGTGTCCCTCAACCCAGCAATTTTAAATTGTGTGGATTTCACCTCCCAGAATTCCCCAGCCAGCATGGGAATTATGGGAATTTAAGTCCACATAGCTTGAACTTTCTGAGGTTGAGAAAACACTGCTATAGACATAAAATAAGAGGAAATCTATACTGCCTTAATTTCACTAAAATGCACCATCATGACAGCATCTCTCTAAATTTTCAGATAAAGCCATGTTTCATTTGCAGAACACATACTGTAACAACGGATCTTAGAATCTAAGGCAAACATTTGGAGGACCATATTTGATTTTTGTAGATGGCCTGTGGCATGGCATTTAAACACTGGGCAAAGCAAACATGAAGACTTTTCCTAGGCATTTAATCGTTTCTCCCTTCTGCCTCATTGAAATTTACACTTGGGTGAAGAAGTGGGAAAAATGGCACAGGAAAGCCATTAGAGATATGTTACCTGACATCCTTCCCCACTGTCATGGCAGCAATAACTTTTTTCACTGCTTCCTTCCTCTTCTCCTTTTTTTCATTGTTGAGTTCAGCTTTCAGTTCAAAAATTTCCCCTGCAGACAAACATACAAGGACCACAGTCAAAAGAGTTCGGCAGGAGCAAACTAATCCACCCTCCTCCAACTATGAATTCTGCTTTCAGCAGTGGACAACAGAGGCATCCAGGAAATCCTTGCCCTTCGAATCGGGAACTCTGCCTAGAGTGGTCCTCAGAATCTGCTAACACCCAAACATTTAATTATTATGACAGTTACAGACAGCTCTTATTCAGCAACCACAATTTGGACCGACCACTTGGTTGTTGTCGCTAAACAAAAACATTAAGATTTTTATGCTTTTCCTTCAGCTTGCCTTCACTTTACAGACTTGCAAGGATTGTAAATGGAAGGAATAGCAATAGCACTTAAACTTATATACCATTTCACAGTGCTTTTACAGCCCTCTCTAAGCGGTTTACAGAGTCAGCCTATTGCTCCCAACAATCTGTGTCCTCATTTTACCTACCTCGGAAGAATGGAAGGCTGAATCAACCTTGAGCCTGGTGAGATCTGAACTGCCAAACTGCAGGCAGATGGCAGTCAGCAGAAGTAGCCTGCAGTACTGCCTTCTAACCACTGCGTCACCGCAGCTCTAGTCATAAAGTCCCCCCCCCAAGTTTTATAGTCATAAAGTTATTTTTTCACCACCATTGTTAACTGCAAAGTCCCTAAATGAATCATTCACTAAACAAGGACTATTTTTTACAACAAATACATTGCTTTTAAAGTGAGCTAGGTTACCTTAATCATAGGCTAGAAGAATGACCTTCACACGTGACTAGCATAGTATGAAGGAACCCTTTCTCTTCAGCCTTATGCAGTGGTTAACTGCTGTTAAAAGAATAAATTCCTCTTTGCCAGGAACGGAGGGGGGAAAAGCTCAAGAAACACAAGGCTCAGTTTCTTTCAGAAGCTGTTTGGTGCAGTCATGCCAGTTCCTCTTTGGGTAAATGGCTCTGCAATTAGGCACGTTCACCAGACTGTCATTTTGTGAATATACAGGTCCCCCCATGGAAGCAATTTTTTGTGAGAGTTCTCACCAAATGCTTTCACAATTTAAGTATATAGAACAGTGAAAAATGCTATGTTCAAAAATGCCACAACTTGAAATATTAGCAGCAGGGTTAAAAACATTAAGGATTTATAAGTGTCACTGCTTTGGCAACCTGGAGGCAGCACTTACAGTTTTGCACAAAAGTATTCACTCCTGTTTTAAAAATATCCTTGACACTGCATGCTATCAGAGCTCAGTGGGAGCTACACAAGACTTCTGATACCATTTGGAAGCAAAGATATGCAAACATTCAGAATATCTGAAAGGGAAGCAAATACTTTTCAATAGAACAGGCTGTTCCAGGAGTGGTTTGGAAGCCATCTGTGGTGTTTTGACTGCAATAGTCTGATTTGGGAACACAGCATTTAATTTTGGATTTGATTAATTTCACACATCCCTGCTACAAACCTGTATTCAGTTTGAACCAGAGAGAAGGAGAGAATAAGATTGTCAAAGGAGCTTCTTACACATTGATAACCTACATAAGTATCTCATGTTATCTCACTTCTCAATAACCCAAGAGATCACCTGATTACAAACTGGACTGAAGCATGCAGTATTTCTCAACCTCAGTAACTTAAGGTGTGTGGATTTCAATTTCTGAATTCTGGGAGTTGAAATCCATGGATCTTAAAGTCACTGAAGTTAAGAAACCCTGGGATGATTTCTGATACTTTACTGCAACAGGCACTGTCAAATCATTCTAGCATTTATACATTATGATACTGATGAGAGGAGAAATTAAACACCCTTTTAAGCAAAAGAGCAGAATTAGGAAAGGCACTGCAAATCAGGTGAGCCGAAGAGGGTGGGGGGAAGGGAAGAACCATCAGCTTGTTTAATGACTGCATGATTTCTGGGAGTTGGCAGCTATGAAGATCAATAGCCTTGCTGGAAGCCAGGAATCTCCATTACCTAAGAGAGGGAAGAATAGGCAGGCTCTGCAAACCTCTAATAGTCAGGGATGATCAGAACAGCAGGTGTATAAATGATCTTATCCAATCTTATAACCTCAGCAGGAGATCTACTAGCTGAGGAGCAAGATGTAATCCCAACCTCAGCAATCAAGTGGTAAGTCAAAAAGTCCCTTAGAGCCTACCTTATTCATTGCCTGAAGAGCTCCACATACCCCCCCGTTTTTTGTAACAAGAAAATTCAGCAGAACCTTTTCCCATTACTTTGAAAATGAAAAACTGAAATTCAGACTTTTTTTTTAAAAAAAAGAAAAACTCACCCAGCCTGCAAAAATAAAAAGTGGAAAAAGAAAAATCCCAACCCAACCATATGAAATAGGATTAAGCCTATTTTGTGTCTCCATTCCAACTGATGGATGAGGTTTGGTCCTATGGTTTTACGGTTCTGGGATTTTGTTGTTGTTGTGAGCTGCCCTATGTTTTAAGATAGGCAGTCATATAAATCTTATGTGTAAATGGCTTTGGTTTTGAAATATGCAAAATATGGTTTTGCATATTTTAAGAGTCCAATTGCTATGATTTGTAGATTACATGTCAACATGTTGTATGAACCCAATCGATCATTTATTTTGAAACATTTGGTTCAATAAAAAATAACTTGTTTGTATTACTGCAGCCACATCAGAGAGTCTGGCTGGAAGATCAATATTGAGATCTATATACATTGTTTCTTTTTGTTGCAGCCTGTGTCAGATTAATTATCTTTCCATTGTTCTTTATGCATTGAAGTTAGCAGCTTAACAACTACTAGTGAGGGGAAAAGCTGAAAGTGTGGAAATAACTTTTCATTACATTTCAACTGATTAAAAGCCAACTACCCTTCTTTAAAAAGATTCTCAGAGCTAAGCTTAATTTGATTATCTTGGCCAGATTGTTAGATGAACCATACCATCCCACCTTATTAATAAAGCCATTTCAGAAATGGCTTAGCAACATATGTGAAGCAGCCTAGTTTCTTCATCCATTTGATCTACAGCAGGAATGAAGAATCAGACCCCTGACATCTATTCTTTCATTTCCTAATATTTTTATCTTAATTCTCGTATCAGCTTGCCCTCTCATGTAACCCAGCAAGTCGTATTGGGAGGCAAACTGTATCCATTGTAGAGAGTTAACATCCAACATCGCATCACAGATCAAATCTAACCTTTTTTATTGGTGGTGAAGTATTTGGAGTCTGTCATGATTTCGGTTTCCTATTGCACCTAGGAGGGGAAAAGTGCACAATTTAAGAAATCTGTACCTCTTTTCATGGCAATGCATTTGTGACTGCTTTAAAACAGTTGTTTTGTTATCTGCTTCAAACTGTAAATCTATTAGTTCCACAGAATAGTAAATAGTATTCAAGATATTAAAAATCCCAATATTCCAAAGAGAAGTAATAGGTCAAACAATATTAATAATCAACTATAGGGTTTTTTTTACTGTGAAGCTTCAGGCTGGGTAAAACGAATGGCCCTTTCTAAGATCTGATGGTCCTAAGTTGCAAATTGACAAATGATAATTTGTATGGTAATAAAAGGTCGTCAACCAGTGTCCTGGTACATTTTATCTATAATATTAAGAAACCATTAATATCAAATAGTATGTACCAGGAAAAACAATGCAAAAAGGGGAAAATGACTCTCCTAAGATATGAAGCAGTTTTTATGCTCAGAATTTTTATACACACACACACACATTTCACTTCTTTAAGTATAGAAGGAAATAAAGTCAACCAATGACCTGTGTCTCAAGTAACTGGGGACTTATGAAGCCTCTCGATGCACTGATTCCAAAGTGCACCTCAATTCTCTGAGTTGCTCCAGCTCAGGCGTCTTCAAACTTGACAGCTTTAAGACTTGTGGACTTCAACTCCCAGAATTCCTCCTCCAGTCATTTCAGCTCAGGAATTCTGGGAGTTGAAGTCCACAAGTCTTAAACTTGCCAAGTTTGAAGACTCTTGCTCCACGAGATGAAGTGCAAGAAGAGATGCCTAGAGCATAGTTACAGTGACTCAGGCAGGGAAAGCTTCCAGGGCCATAGCAAAAGATATTCATGCTATCTGATAGACACACATTTCTTAGGTTTGCACTTTTTCTGAGCAGGACCAAGTGAGTTATCTGAGGCCCAGTCTTGTGATGCACCCACATATTTGCATTTCGAACCAGTTGTAGCTCTTGGATGGTCTTCAAGAGTAGCCCAGTATCCAATTGTGAAGTGACTGAAGGCATGGGTGACACCTGAGTGGCCAAGGGTGCAACTGGGGCACAAGGTGAATCTTGCCCTCTTGCTTATAAGTGTCACCTATTCTAGGTGCAGTACAGTAGCTGCAAGTCTAGGAAGAGCCCAAGTTACGCATTAATGGGAAAGTGCAACATTTTTTTCTGTTCCAAGAGAGTAGCTCCTCCAAAGGGAGTAGGGAATACATATGTAGGATATAGCACCTTTTGCCCATGTGTTATTGCTGCTTTATGAGCTGCACTGGTTACCAGCCAGGTTCTAGTCACCAATAAAGCCCTTCATGGAATAGGAATTTAAAGGATCACCTTTCTCCAAATACTGCCAATCTGGTATGATCGAACAAGGTGGATGCACTCCTGGTCCCTTCAATTAAACATTGTCATTTTATGGGACCAAAGAAGCGTGCCATCTCTCTTCCATTTCTGCTCTTTGGAACAGCAGCCCCAGAAATACATATGGCTCCCACACCTTAAATGTTCCAGGTGTCTCTTAAGATCTGGCTGTGTTCCCAGGCCTGGGATCAGGATATTTGTGGAAGCCCTGTCAATTTATTTCCCTGGATTTTGTTTGTGTAATTTTATCAGGGTATCCTATTTCTTTTAAATTATGTATTCTTTGAAATGTGGTAAGCAACTTTTTGGAGTCAGGAAGCTTCGAAATCCAATCAATAAATAATGACAGTCATAAAAAGAGTTTTTCTCTGAAGCTAAAGACCACCCATCTAATTCAAGAAGCCAGGAAGGAATAAATGAACACATAGAAGATGCTTCTTTCAGCTAAGCAACACTCGTGACTGAAGGCTGTTTCATCACAGCAGTTCCTGCCCCACCCCCCTCCACAAACCTCAGAGGAAGAAAGACACAAACTATATTGTTTCTAATCCGAGAATCATCTCTCCCGAACAGCTTTAAGAGTCTAATCAGAGGAGGTGCTTCGCTGGTGCCAGCAAGAGCCAGCATTTCCAAGCAATGTGTCTTTCTTTGCACAGGAAACTGGTAGACCAGCCCATCCTCATATTGTGGCAAGGAATTAACTCCTGCTTAATGACATGGCAGAAATATATTTGTGCCTGTTTGGCGGAGGGGAGAGCATATTAAACAATATCAGATTAAAGGGGAAAATCTATCCTACTCAGTTCAAAGAATTTAAATTTGATACTGGCTTACAGGAATCTAAAGAATCTCTATTGCTAGCCATGGTGCTGGGAGCCAAAATCGTATTGTTTTCATCCCTGGAATTTGTTACTGGAGCCTAGGAATTAAATGGTTTTTTTATTTATGATATGAATCTATCAACAAATCCAAGAAGTCTTCAAGTGCAAGAAACAGAAATATTCAGTTAAGAGTGCAAAATGATTTCCAGGTATTTTAACCGAACTGTTTTTTCTTAGAACATGCATGAAACAATACTGGCCTCCCTAAGCAAGCAGTGATTCCTAATTCAAATACCTCATTTCTAGATAAGATAACGAGCACTACGTCTCTGCAAAGAACCAAAAGCCTCTACCAAGCTGTTAGTACACTCTTCCCTTCTGTGCAATCTGTGTTCAGAGTGCTATAACCATGGTTAAACTAACTATGATGGGGGGGAGGAAATCCCTCAATCTTTAGGATTGGAATTTCACAAGAAATGATAAGCTAACCAGATAGGTTAGTCATTAGTTCATACCTAGTAGGAAAAAAATATGGCTACCAGATTCCAATTTAGTGCGCTGTGTGAATTATGACTAACACAAGGCTCCTCTTGGCCAGTTTAGATCAGAAACATTTCCATAAGAACAGCACCAATCTTATTTCCACCTCCTTTGAACTTAAAATATTCCAGGGCATGCTGATAGTCCAGATGCTGCATGGGGTTAAAACCTGGGGATGGGATGTGGAGGTTATTCTTCAATTGGAAGTAGTCTAAAACATCTTCTTAAAGATGATCTTGGGGCTCCCAAGGGTACCCTCATAGCTAATCTAAGAATGGATGCTAGGTTACTCTTCATTGCTGACAGAATACATCTTGCATTGCTGGGGCACTATAAGAAATCAGAAAGTCTTCAAGAATCTATCTTTGCTTTCTCCATTACTCCATTACAGTTGGGAATCAATGGACTGCACTTTTGTCACCGATAGTAACTCAGCTCTTGGAAAATAGAAAATATTAGGCCTTTTGATGTTTGGTGTAGTTGTTAAGGTGCTGGCTTAGAAACCAGGTGACTGTGTGAGTTCTAGTCCCACCTTAGGCATGAAAGCCAGTTGGGTGACTTTGGGCCAGTCAGTATCTTTCAGCCCAATCTGTCTCACAGGGTTATTTTGTGAGGAAAAGAGGAGGAAGGATCTTTAGTTATGCCACGTTTAGTTATTTATAAAGCAATAAAAGCACTTCCACTGCCCATTTACAATGAAATTTTGACCACATTATTAATGGTGGGTGAATTCAAGAGCTCGGACTCGAATGGCTAAATTGTTATGTTGCAGGCATGTTTCTAACTTTAGTAGCCAGATTGCTACTTTTGCTCTGTCTTCATTTAAACTCAAGTTGTTAATCATAGCCCCGACTGTATCTTGCTTTGACCTCTTTGTATCCAACATTGTCATTTTGTTATATTGTATTTCATGCTGTGTTACAATGCTATGATCCATAGTTTCAAAAAGAAATCTTATTCATTTTACTTGACTCCCAACCACTAACTAGGAAATTCCGCCAGATATCTATTTGAGATCCTGGCATGGTACCATTGGTATCATTTTTCAATGCCTGCCAGCTCAGCTCTATCAAATTCTTTAATAAAACACCATTACTTTACAAAGCCACTGTGAGGTGAAGGTGTTGGTCTAGGAGCAGGGTTCTAGTCCATTCTCAGCACCTTGGAGATAGTCTCTCTAAGGCCAACCTACTGTACCTGAAAGGCTTCTTATTAAGGGGGGAAAACAGGAGGAGGGGGCACTATATTCTTGCCTATAAATATATAAATAGCGGCACTATAAATCTAATAAATGCAGAACGTTCATTGCTTTCTTTTACTAATTTATAAATGGTGACTGACTGTATCCACCCCTACTGCACTAGCCCACTGTGAAGACAACTCTTAACTTCTTTCCTACTGAACTTAAGATCTCCATCCCAAGGACAGCAGATTCCTTTTCCAGCTACCCACATCTATTTTCTGACATGCAAGACATCCTCCTTCCTTTCCAACCAAAGCAGAGAAATATCTTGCAAGTGCGATTTTTTTGCACTCTCACCTCACAATCCTTCCCTGTTCCTGAAAGCCCTATTCTTCCACCTGACCCCAAATTCCCTTAAGATACCTACTGAAGGAACCCCAGCTTCGCTCTCTGCAGCGCCCCCCATACCTGTTATTAATCTAACCAATCCAAAACTTTCTCCTCCAGTACTCTTCCTGACTTTTCCTCGTTTTCCACAATGCTTCCACTGCAGATTGTAAATTCCTCGATGGCAGGGGACTTGAGCCCACCTTGTGGGCTTTAGTTTTTTTTGCTTTTAAAATAGGTGCTATTAAGGTCTGCAGATTCAGCGAGGGGCAACTATGTGCATCTCCCCAAAATAGATAATTATTCCCCAATCACCTTTCCACTTCCCTCCCCAAGCAACGACGTCTCACTTCTCTTCTTGAGATCAGCAACCTGCAAGCTCCACCCGGGAAAGGAGCCATTCTATCTGGGGAGAAATCATACTATAATTCACCTTTCCAACACCCACCCACCCACCCACCCAGGAACCCCACACCAGAATGCCAGGGGAAAAAACCCGATCCCCGCCCTCATATCAAGCCCATGCCCTACCCAAGGGAGGAGCCATTCATCCTCCACCCCACCCAGCAATTCCTCAATGGGCGGAACCACATAGCCAGTCAGTCCCCCAACTAACCTACTACGAAGAGGGGAGTCCTCGAAAAGGCTTGATACTGAAGAAAAGACGACAACGGAGAAGGATGGAGCAGTAACGGTCAGTAGCAACCGTAAAACTGCTTCGCTTGGGAGGAGACCGGAAGCCGGGCTGTCTGGGAAGACCAACCAACGATATGCGCCACGCCTTCCTTCTTACACCGTCCGCAGCCACAGAGCTTCAGCGGCCTAGATGGGCACACCCACTTCCTTCCGGTAAAAACACGCCTATCTCTGTAAGAGAGGAACGCTGCTCCGTTAAAAGGTTAGATATGACTGCATTATCATATTATACCTTCCGGGATCGTCCAATCCTTCCGAAACAGCTTTTCGTTTTTAGCTCTCCAGACTGAGGTTTGGAAAGCCTGGAGAGGGTTTCCACATGTAAATTTATGGGGCATTTTCTTCAACGTCAAGAGCGTCTCTTCTCCCGCCGGAGAGTCCTCCCAACGGGACTAAAGCCTGTTTGCCTTCTCTGTAAGTCTATGGTGCGATAGAAACAAACTAAAGGAAATTCTAGCGCGGCCTGAATTTCGGCAGCACCGAAACTGCAAAGCGGTAGCAGCGGCAGCACCGCCGAGGGGGCAGCCGCTGTGGACGGAGTGGGGTCGAGGTGGGGAAAATCCTGACCGGTCACTCTCCGGCACGCGGGGCGCAGGAATGTAAGAGCACCCTTGTAATTTTCCCGCCCGTTTTTTTTCCTGCGGGATGTCTGACCCCTGCCATGAACACCATACAATTTAATGGCCAGAGCCATTCCTGCCATCAGGCGGCTTTCTTTATTGGTTTCATTCGGGCTTAATTCGGATGCAAGCACTTTAAAAATATATATTAAAAAGATAGAAGGGGAAAAAAATCTGAAGAAAATGATAGATATAAGGTGTGTTTGTGCAAAGTTCTTACTCATAATTAAACTTGGTGGCTTCAATGCAACCTCGTTTGCATGGCAGGATGGACTATGGGCTTTGAGTTCACACAACATATTAGGCTAAAATGTGTATGATGTGGGCTTGGTGCATCCAGCAATGATGGAGAGCCATATGGGAATTATAGCTAATTATATGTATCATCGTCCTTGAGTGAAATAGCTTACTGTATTAAATAACTTGCCATTTTTCAATTAGAAATGAAAAGATCAATAATTTAAATATATCCATCTATCATTCTAGAGAGAAAGTTTTAGGGCTTTTGTAATGTCTTCTGAAACCCTGTTCTGTTTTGTTTCATTTATGAATTATTTTGGAAAGTTTGTACTTTTCATTCCAGAAGAGACCATGGCAGAACATGGGGCTCATCTCACTGCCACCTCCACATATGAGGACAGGCCTTCTATATTTGAAGTTGTTGCCCAAGACAGTTTGATGACTGCTGTGAGGCCAGCATTTCAACATGTGATCAAGGTAAGAATGGTTGGTGAGTGAGTATTGAGGGAAGGATAACTATTATTTTTCTGTGCTTTATCTAAGGTTAAATAATGGTCAGAACAATGAAGAAAATATGAAAGCATGGAAGGGCAGGGGGAAAAATTGCATGCATATGTGACATCCATTTTTTTTTACAATTGGAAGATTTATTTTAGGTACCAGATACAGAAAGAGAATGCTTCCTCAGATCTTGTTAAGCTCAGACCAGGATAGTCAGACCAGGATAATCAAATCAGTGACTTTCCATTAAGCCTACAATGGAAATCTAGATCATATCTATAAATTATAATTCATAGCTTAGAATTTTATTTATTTTTCTGCTGAAAATAATTAAAGCAAATCCAGTTTAAAATAATAACATCAACATGGATTCCAATTTATGAGTTCTGCCTTGAAACTTTCCAACAATTATGAAATTTTGAATTTTAAGAGAAAATTATGAAATATTACAATAATGTTAACCGCATTGTTACTGTATTTTTACATCTATTTTTGTCTTTGTGTGTGTGTGCTAGCTACATCTCTTTTCATGTCTTGATCTTGATCCAGTAATGGGACACAACTTCTAGCATGTCATTCAAAAGCCACAGAGTCCTCATCTTGAAAAAGGCTGTGTTATCTTCCAACAATTTCAAAACAAAACAAAACCCCACAAAGTAGCCAAAACAAAATGTTTCAAACATTGATAAAAATGTCATGACACATCCGGGTTTATTACTCTTACCCTCAATTGTCTTTTGTACTAGGTATTGGCTGAATCCAACCCTTCATATTACGGTTTCCTCTGGCGCTGGTTTGACGAAATCTACACCGTCTTGGATCTTCTACTCCAGCAGCACTACCTCTTCCGGTGCAGTGCTTCTTTTTCTGAAAACTTCTACGGCTTGAAGAGAGTTGCACTGAAAAGAAAAAGGAATCAGCAGATACCCTTGGCCACTGCTGGACTTCCCCCAAAGCATCACTGGAAATCTCTCTGCTTGTTGGTCCTTGTTCCGTATCTGAGAACTAAACTGGAAAAGTTGATCTCCCGTCTCCAGGAAGAGGACGATTATTCTATCCACCCTCCGTCATCTTGCTGGAAGCGGTTTTACAAGGCCTTCCTGGCTGCCTATCCCTTTGTGAACATGGCTTGGGAGGGCTGGTTTCTGGTGCAGCAGCTATGTTACATTCTGGGGAAGGCTCAGCATCACTCCCCGCTGCTGAAACTGGCTGGTGTGTATTTGGCTAGGCTGACAGCAGAAGATCTGCGGGCTTTGGAAAAGGTACCTGTAGCTGCTGGTGACGTCCTGCAGTCATCAAACAGGTGAATAGAAGTGAAAACCCTAAAAACAATCTCCCCCCTTGCTGATTTTGCTTGCTTCCTTCAATTATTGGGTATATTTATATACTCACAATGTTTGTATATCATTTAAAAAGTAATACTCGCCAGGTGGTTAATCATTAAAAATGTAGGCCATAAAGATGAAAGTTTAAGAAAAAGATCTTATTACTACACCTGGGAAAATTTAAGAAACAACAAAAGCATCTTCAGCAAGCACCACAAAGATTGAAATAGGTCAAGACTCTCTAAAATCTATTATGTAGGCAGTCCTTGACTTACAACCATGATTGGGACCAAAATTTCCATTTCTAAGCAAGGCATTTTAAGAGTGGCTCCTGATTTTATGATCTTTTTTCCCATGGCTGTTAAGCAAATCATTGCAGTTGAGTGAATCATATGGTTGTTAAGCAAATCTAGTTTCACCCATTAACTCTGCTTGTTGGAAACCAGCTGGGAAGATCACAAATGGCAATTACATGACCCTTGGACATTGTAAATACCTGCTGGTCGCCATGTGCCCAAATTTTGATCATGCGACTGGATATTGTATCCGTGATAAGTGTAAGGACTGGTCTTTCATTTTTTTTTCAGTGCTGTTGTAACCTTGAGCTAAATGAATGGCTGTAAGTCAAGGATTACCTGTGGTTTTTAGCAAGTACACCTACAGAGTAAAGTAATGGCTAAGATTTTTCCTATTTTTGAAGATCAGTTTCTCTAACAGTCATTTGAGAGCCATATGTTGAGTGGGAATTTTCTGTTTACAACTTTTTATACTCTATTTTTTCTTCCTCAAACTAATCTTACAAAAATTTGGGGGTGTTATACCTCCAATTGCTAAATGCTGGAAACCAGGTATTTGGATGAATAGCTAATCATAGTTGTATCTCGGGGATTTTTCTGGCTTTTTCTCTTAGAGAATTCAGGAGATTGACTTTTTATTGTAACCCTGAATTTGCGTCTTGACGCTTTCCGTGTTTCTTAATAATACTGTGAATTTTGTTATTAATTTATTTTTTATATCTTTCCCCTTTCTGCAGCATGAAAGAGCAAATACAGTCAGCTGGGAAAAAAATCTTGGGGGGCCTGGCTTTCTCCCTCTCCACCGGCCTCTCTGTGGGCATCTTCTTCCTCCAGTTCTTGGAGTGGTGGTATTCGGCTGAGAATCAGGAGACCATCAAATCGCTGACTGCTATGCCAATCCCACCACCACCTGTGCACCTGGACTACGAGACCGATTCACCTCTTTTGCCAAAACTCAAGACAATATGTCCATTGTGTCGTAAAATCCGTGCCAACGATACAGCCCTCTCCACCTCTGGCTTTGTTTTCTGCTATCGCTGCATCTACCCTTATGTGAAGCATCACCAGCAGTGTCCCATCACTGGCTATGCCACTGAACTTCAGCACCTTATCAAATTATATGCACCTGAAAACTGACAGGTCCATTCTTCAATTTTTATATAAAAACTGGAATGCTACATTGCAGAATTGGGTGGGTTTTTTTCTGATTGTACTAAGCATGACCTTTAAGAGGGTAGCTATGGGTTATACTAGCTGTTTGGAGAATCAATAGAAGTCAACTGTTGTCTTTGGACCATCTCACCTAATATCTAATAAGTGAAAACGGATTAGCTGAGAAAGATTAGACAGAAAGAAGGCCCAATCTGTTTCTCATCAGTATGACTTGAGGCACATTTCCAAGGGTAAACTACTTTTCCTAGAAACAATTGGTCATTAACTGGCCAGCTCAGGGTTACAGACCAAGTTGTGAGCAGGTTTTAGAAAAAAATAGCTTTAATAGAAGCAGCCTAGAACTAAGAAGAAAATTCCTGATAGAACAATTTGCCTCCAGAAGTTGTGAATGCTCCAACATTGGGGATTGGACAACCATTTGTCTGAAATGGTATAGGGTCTCCTGCCTGAGCAGTGGGTTGGACTAGAAGACCTCCAAGGTCTCTTCCAACTCTGTTATTCTTTTCAAATTTCGTCATACATTATTGATAACTTTCAGTTGCACACTGCTGTAAGTGACCATGAAAAGACAGAAAAGCTGCTGAGAGGAATCTAAGCAGCTAACCTTTAAATATTTTCTAGCAGCAGCAAGGTAGCGGTTGTTACCTATGAAGCATTCACAGCAAGGAGCTGGGTTATTTACAAAACCTCATCTTCCTCATTTCTGTCCATCCCACCAGGTCCAACTGGAGGAGCACACTCTGGGTCCTCAATTGAAGAAATGGGCCCTAGGTCCACTATGACATAGGAAGCAGGGTTTTTTTGTCATAGTACCTGCCTTCTGGAACACCCTATCCCCAAGGTTATATTGGCCCTTGATGCTACTGATCTTTTGCAAAGCACTAAGATCTGGATGTTCTCCAGAATATTGGGATTGGAAAGGATAGCCTATGAAATGAGATGAGATTGTATTGTTCAGTTTTTATTGGGTTTTTAGCAATCACTGTAGGTTCTTCATATTTTCTTGATCATTGTTTTTGCATTGTTTTTATGTTTGCCACCCAAAATCACAGCTGCAAGCCATGTAAGTCAAACAAATGATACATTCCTCAAAATAAACAAGAAACTGCTTAATAGAGATTGCCTTTGGACATCATGATAAATATTAACATTGTATTACAAAGGCTTTTATGTTGCTTCAATCAGTTTTTACTTTAAGAGACACTATGAGAAAAACAAGCCCAGAACAATCTGAGATTTGAATTCTAACTCTTCTGGAAAAAGTGCGAGATTATAAGCTTCTGTTTGATAAAATGAAAGTTGGCTTTGGTAAACAAGGTTACAAATACAAACCCAACCATTTGGGGGACTCAACAAGATTTCTGAACTGTTAAATCCGGGATCCTTTTGATGCGTTACATAAAAAGGTGTAATAGGGGATAGAAAACTGGTATATTTTCTCCCATGCTACTTGAAGCTTCTAAATAAAATGCAGGGGATTGATTCTGGATTTTTTGTTTTTGGGATATTTTTTGCTTCCTTAATGGTTTTAACATGAGTCAGCTTGGTAGGGTGACAGATCACTCAATGGTTGTGTTTACAAAATAGGCTATATCAGGACCTGCTAGAGATATCCAATGCATAAAACATTGCTTACAAATTAAGATTGCTCAGAATAGCTCAACATGTGTGAATCCATTCCATCTGTTTTCCATCAACCTAAACTGTCTCCCTCTTGTTTGAGGAAGGAACAACTATTTGTCTATAAGTAGCACTGAAATACATCTGGCAGTCTATAGTTAGGTCGCTTTCATCCATCCTCCATAGTCAATTTTGTAGTAAGCCCGTCAGATAACTTATTAATGAAAGCTCTCTGTGGATTCGTCTCCAACACCAAGCCTTACGAGGTCTCTGGATTTCAGCAAGACCCCACAGCTCAGACTTGTTTTTTGCTTTCCTTCCCCTTTCTGTCTCATCGCCTTTTGTTTCAAGCCAAATTTTCTACCCTTCCCAAAAGACAGTCATCTATATGCAAAGTCCACCATGGAAGGTCTCTTCTAGACAATATCATGGCAACACAGCCTATTGATCTGTTATGCTAGTCATTTTCTTTATCTGGATCAGTAACATAGACTTAGTGTTGAATTTATGTTTACTGACAAATAAAGGGAGACTACTATAGATCTATTTCAAGCTATTTAGCTCTCATCAGCTAGCCATAACCTCCTGGGATTCAAACCTAGACTACTTGCATATTCAGTAGATGTACAGACTTACAGAGTTTACAAAACTGTTGTCCTTTGTATGTAAGTCTTGCAACTCTGTTTCCTCTGCTACATGAGTCTTTTTTTAAAATAGAATGTTGCTAGGAAGAATTCTTTTAGAAATACCTTGTATAAGCATAACATTCTTGTTACTGCCTCTGGTCTTGTCAACAGTAAGCCATCACCTGTACAAAATAAAATCCAGTTGTTACTGTTTTCATAGAATCAGTGTTGGAAGGGACCATTTGGGCCTTCAGTCCAATCACCTGTGCAAGAATCCAAATCAAAGCATCCCCTCTCCTTCACCACATCCAGTGAAAAGAGGTCCACCACCTCCTATTATGCAGCTTTTACTGTTAGGTTTTTCAGACTAGCATCATCGAAAGTTTATAACATTGTGGAAACAGTGCCCAAATAATCACATCATAGAATCAGAGTTGGAATGGACCTAGATGGTCTTCCTTTCCAACATCCTCAAGCATTAATTGTACTTATGTTGGAACAAAATCTCAAACAATTTGTCATCCACATATCCAGTTTTATACAGATCTTGTTTTAAAGTAGCATTTTTTTCCATTTCTTTTACTTTGAAAAAGATGTATTTATTTATTCATATAACCACCCTACTGCAATGCGACTTGAGGTGATGAACACACACAAAAATATTATTAAAAATAATAAAATGTTGTATCTGGGGCAATTTTACACCACCCAATCCCATGAATAATCAAGTTGGGCAGAAACTAGTTAACCCAGTATCCAGGAGAAAAATCAGGTCTTAAGAGACTGCTAAATAGGGCAATCAAATAAATAGGGTGATCCAAATCTCTCATCCATTGGACAGGTCTGGTAACAAAGAAGGTCATCTGGATTCTATCATCTGCTTGAGTGATGGGACTAAGAGAACATCCACTCTATCCAATCTTATTGGATGACAAGTAATCAGAAACAGTTTGTGCTGCAAATAACCAGGTAGTATACTACAAAGTTTTAATTAACAGTGTCTTAGGATTTTAAAAGATTCAACTGTTTATTTGCCATTCCCTGTGAAAAACATATCATTTTTTCCTATAGAACTCAAGTAGGTCCATTCCAAACTTTGTATTTACCCTGGTGGTCCTTTTTCTACAATGGAAAGAAGTACATATCTTTCTCTGGTGAGAAAATGGCTTTGCTGTGAGAAAGAGCTGCTGCATTTTTAACTCCATCTGATATTTCCCTCTAGGATGTTTCTTTGACATGTCAGTTGTCAACCCTTGTAACTGGAAGGAACTGGTGTTCTCCATTCTAAAAACTGTAGCAATTTTTCTATTTCTGCTTCCGAGAGAAAGTGGGAAGAATAACTCAAGTTTTCATCCACCAATCACTGAAGAAAAAGAATCTTCACACGTGCAAATGTCTACTTAAACTACTTTAAATGCAATAGATTCAACCCCTCTCTCCCATGAAATCTATTTCTGTCCCAAACATGTCCAGCAATAACTTAGAACTAAGGAGAAATCTCCTGAGAGTTAAGAACAATTAATCAGTGGAACAACTTGCCTCCATAAGTTGTGAATGCTCCAACACTGGAAGTTTTTAAGAAGATGTTGGATAACCATTTGTCTGAAATGCTATAGGGTTTCCTCTAAGCAGGGGGCTTGGACTAGATTCTAGAAGACCTCCAAGGTCCCTTCCAACTCTGTTATTCTATTCTGTTCTATTCCGTACTATGTTCTGTTCTATATTCTATATTCTTTTCTATTCTATATTCTGTTCTATTCTGCTCTACTCTATTCCGATTCCTACTCCGACTCTACTCTCCCACAGATCCAGAGACAAATGCAAACAGAGAATTCCCAGGGGTCCCAGACCGCCAAAACCAGCTCAGAGAGAAGATTACGTGATCATGCCCTGGTCAGAGTCAAAACCAAAGTTCTGACAATACCAGTTCAGACTAGACTTCACTCATCATTGCCTTTGGCACACCTTGCAGGAACCTCTTTGTCAGACCATGTACAGTACTCCAATACTGTAGCCACTCACATTATTTTTGCAGTTCAGTATCACAAAATGATATTTCTAGGAAGATGGATTTTAGAATGTGGGCATAAAAAGCCACGGAAGGCATCACTAGTCTCCTAGGTGGCCACTTTTCAGCCAACTTTCTCTGTTCCTTAATGGTGAACAATTTGCCAGTCCCACTCAGCCTCTGGGACGGGCCTTCTGCTCTGAAGTCCACAAGTCTTAAAGTGGCCAAGTTTGGAGACCCCTAAACCAGCATTTATCACCCTTGACAGCTTTAAGATGTGTGGACTTCAATTCCCAGATTTCTGGCTGGGGAATTCTGGGAGTTGAAATCCACAAGTCTTAAAATTGCCACGGTTGAGGAACCCTTCGCTAAGCCCTGGTTTTCTTAACTGTGGTTTCTTGAAACACTCTAAATGATTAAAGTCCAGTTTACCGTATAAGAAAGGATAAACCTTAAATATATATATATAAGCCAAATTCATATGCCTACCACGTATTCAGCAGGGGCCGCGTTGCTCCGACATTTTAAAGTCCCGCGTCAAGGGAGGGAAGGACTTCCAAAGGAAGCTGCCGGTCCCAACTCGGCAGGCCTAGAGCAGTCTGGATCTCACTTCCTGTTTCCGGTCGCTCACAGGATCCTTTTAAACTTCAACTCCCAACAATCATTGCGCGAGGGAAATATCAAATTTTTTCACGAGAGTTTCCTTCCCACCCTCCCCTTAGCTCAAGGCTTCAACTGGGCGGTGCTTTTTTTTGCGTGCTAGTAAATTCTGTAATCCAAAATATTTTTGAATACATTCTATAGCTGCATTCTGTATTCTATTTTCTTCAATTTGTCTGCTAGCCAAACGTTGGACGTGAAATTGTTTAGACTATTGGGCAAAACGAGACTAGGTTTCGATAGCTTTTAAGATACATCTGTTGTAATAATACTGTATTTTAGTTAATCTATAATGCCACATGCTACTAAGATTTTAAAATCAGTCAACTGTGATGTTTTAAGTTTAATAAAATATTTAAAATACTTTAAAAAAAAATCATGTAGGCAAACACTCAAAATAATCCAAAATGGGGTGTGTTTTGCAGACCTGTGCAGCCAAGGAAAGATTTAAGTTATATCTACGGTAATAAAGTGACTGCTTTACCAAACTTTTTTTCATGGTAAATCTATTAGTCTTTTAAGATGCTGCAGGTGTTTTATGAATGGGAAGGACACTTTGATTTGCTTTATAAATGAAAAATGACTAGGCTGGGACTAAAACAGTAAAGAACCACAATCTCTAAAAATAGGAGTGGGTGAGGTGAGGGGATTACCCTTACTTGGTCTCCTACCAGTGGAATCCATAATCAACGTGGCAGAGGTCTAATATCACAATTTTTTTCTCCTTAACCAGTAATTTGGGGGAAAGAACAAAAAAGGAAAATGTCATCCCATTTATGTTTGATTGAATGTTATCGCCAGGGCGATGAGGGGGTTATTGGTTTTATATTGGGTTTTTATCTTTGTAAGCCATCAGAGGTCACTGTGTGGGGTGACATAAATTTTCTTCAATAAATAAATAAATATTAACAGAGAAAGAAAAACCTAGTACAGGTAGTCCTCAACTTAAAGCAGTTTATTTAGTGACTATTGAAAGTTACAATGGCACTGAAATGTGACTTCTGCCCTGCAACGTCCCCATGGTCATGTGATCAAAATTCAGACTCTGGGCAACTAATTCATATTTATGACAGCTGCAGTGTCCTGGGGTCATGTGATCCCCTTTTGCAACCTTCTGACAAGCAAAGTCAATGGGGAAGCCAGATTCACTTAACTAAGTTGACAACTGCAGTGATTCACTTAACGCCTGTGGCGAGAAACGTAAAATGGGGCAAAACTCATTTAACAATTGTCTTGCTTAGCAAAAGAAACCTTGGGCTCAATTGTCGTAAATTGAGGACTATTATAGCTGGAAGCCAACTGTAAAAACTTAGGTCATCTGATCCACATTAGCCAACTGCAAACCTCAGATGCATCTGGCATCAAAATGTCTGTTTAAAAATAGTATTTATTTCATGGAAGTGTTGGAAGAAATATCCTTCTGGGATCAGTTCCAAGTAGGGAAGAAAGACACTGGAAACATGGTGACTGCTTGGAAAGTTGGTTTATTGGTGGACAGGATTCACATGGCTTGGAGATCCTGGGTGAAAAGGAAAGAAATGCAGAGAGTCCCTGGGTTTTATGCCCTCTGTTGGGATTTGAATTTGAGCTTGTATTCTGATTGGTTGTCAGACTCCCATGGGGCCATGCAGGGGCAACTCTGTAGGCTGTCCTGAGTCCCAGGCTTGGTTGAGCCTTGCTGGATGATGATGTATTGAAAGGGCTTTGGGCAATTCCTATTATGGCTCTACCTGGAGTGGATCTTTGTTATGTAAAATAGACTGGCCCAGGCATTAACAAAAGTGGGGGGGACTAAGTTTCTGCCTCTCTAGAGTTTCTACTTCTCTTTTAGGGGAAATATTCTGCCTTTTTAATATATCCTAAAATATTTTATTTTCCTAGGAGAGGGATGGGTTTAACTTCTAACAGAAACAAAACACAGAAAAGAGAAACACAGAAAGAGGGTTGGGCTTAGCAAAAAAAAAAAAGATTGGATTGAGAGAGCAGCTGTCATCAAAGGAACAAAAAGGTAAGCTTAATTAAAATGGAGAGAGTGCCTTATTGGAACACTGGTTGTAAAAGGAACTGGCGAGGCTTTAAGCAGACATGAAATAAAAATAACCACATTAATACAATCCTGATCCCAAGAGTTTGTGTGTGACTTTCCCCCCTGTGTCTTGGAAAAGTCTGTTATTCTACCAGTTTCTTGAATTTTTCTGCTTGGGCACTGTTTCCCACTCCCAATCTCCATGATTTTTTTCTTCATTTTTTTTCTTTTCTGGTTTTTCTCAAACAAACTTCTGGGGGCTGCTGGCACTCTCTATCGTTTTTATTTTCTAAGAAGGCTCCTAGAAATTGCGAGAGGTTCATTTATTGTTGGAAATAAAGATAGTTACTTGAGACTGATATTTAATTTTCACTATAGATTCAGTCAGACCAGGAGTGCTATCCAGCAACTGGGATCTTACCAAGCACATTGCACACCTGACTGACATAGCAGGTATTCTGATTTTAGGGGTTTCCTGTTCTCAAAAAATTTGGCTAGGCAGGCACTTCAAAGAATAATTTTCTTAGCCAGGACAAAATTTAGGGACCCTCCAAGCAATTAATTAGAATTATTTTGATGATTATTTCTGACGGCAAGAGCATAATAAGTGACAACTTTGAAGACGATACTTTAATTTTCTGATCATTTTCCCATACACATTCATTCTAATTTCTCCTTTATTTCTGATTTGTGTCATTTTATTTTTCCTTGCTTCTTTATGGCTGAGTCAGGGGTTTGATCAACCCATAGTCCATGAGCTTCACAAGGCATTCTCGAGCCACATTGATAATGTGTTGTCTTTTAGCATCATCTGCTTCTTTACCAATGACGGTCAGGATTTCCAACATCTCGCTCTCCACCAATTTCTTTGCCAGCTCTTGATCTGCATGGATTAAATTGTAAACAATCACCACCCCACGGTGCTGGACCTCCTGCTTTTCGTGAAGGCAGAGTCTCTGCAAAATCTCCAGCCATTGGGTTGTCTAAACAAATCAGAGTTATTAGTCTGAAGAAATCAGAATGATTACTATGCAGTTTTGTTCACGGGCCCTATTAGAAAAGTGTGAAAAGGATTATAATGTAGGATATTATTCATATTAAAAAGATGAGTGTGGCAAACATTGTTTTTCAGAGAACTAAGTAAAGTAGTATTGCAACAGCCACCAGTAAAATTTTCTATAGTCATAATCCATTCAGAGTATTTGCTGAAAAAAAGAACAATGTATGCAATTTTAATTAAAAGGTTCTAATTGAAATTGATAGTGTCTGGTTCTAAAAGTATTCAGTTCAGGGTAACTTAATGGTGAGTTATTAATTACTATGTCCTTATTCCCCGTTTGTGGGAAAGGAAAAAAAAGCTTTACTTACTAATTTATTTTCTCTTTTTTAATTGTCCTGTAATGCAGTTTTATCATTGAAAAATAAAAAAATGAAATCCTACCATCTTTTTGTGAGGAAACACAAACTAATGAAGGATCGATTCATATCACCAAATAGAAGAGGAATCCATAAAAGATAATAAGAGCCAGTTTGGTGTAGTGAAACCAGAAGATTGTGAATTCTAGTTCCACTTTAGGCATAAAAACTTTTTGGGTGACTTTGAGCCAGTTGCTTTCTCTCAGCCCAACCCACTTGTTGTCATGGGGAAAATAAGAGGAAAAAGTATAATATATGTTTGCTGCCTTGGGTTACTTATAAAGTAATACAGATGGGACAAAATCAAATAAAATAAAGGACAAAATATTAAAATTGTAATATTCCTAAAATCTTGATTCCTGGATTGCCTTGGGCCATTCCAGCAGAGTAATCACATTTTAAGCAGGGGACAATTTGCAGATCTTGTGAGGTAACAGATAAGAGTGGGGAAAAAGGAGAGCAGCGGAATGATGCCTCCCCTACTTCAAGGAGCACAGGTAGTCCATTGTGTTCATATGTTCTTGAAACCCTACTACACGAAAAGATAACTAGCAGGAACCACAGAATTATATAAAGCAGAGCAGAAATTTGAAACCAACTTTAACCTCTACACACTGAGGTTGAAAAACAAGAAGAGACTTACCACTCGAGTTAACTTATGACAGAGTGTCTTATGGGCTGCAGTGAGCATTGCAAGGGCTCCTGCAGCTGCATTCTGGACTTTGTCATCATCCTCACCACATAACAGGACAATCAACTTGAGTCTGTCATTTCCTTCAGCAATGAATCTTTCTTGAACCTGGAGGGGGGGGAAATCAATTAAAGGGATGCTCCATAAAATACAGGAATACTGAACATTCCTAGATGAAGAAGCTGTAGATCCCTTCACCAGAATTTTCAGGAAATGGAAATACTTACCTCTTTGTTAACTACAAGGTTGCACATACATTCTGTGGCTGCTTGTCGGAGCTGATCATGATTTTCAAACATGTAGTTTTCAATCTCTGGTAGAGCTTTTTCTTTGATGATCTTTTGTCTGAAAGAAGCATGTGGATTTTAATTACTGTAACAGGGTAGGGAAAATGAAAACTTTGAAACTGTCAGGAACTCTGAGAATAGGCCAATCTCCGCTTTGCGAAACTTGGCTCAAAGACAAGTCTCCCTTTTAATCATAGTTTACTGCAATGAAAAGATCTTTTGGCATCAGCAGTACTGTATTAAATCCTCAGATGCTGTAGCTGTTGCTACGGTGATGCAAAGGGATTTTTTTTTATATATATAAGTCCGTCTGTTAGAACCCTGGTTCAGGGCTTTTTGTACAACCAATGTAATGTGAATTGGATGACTTTGAAAACCCATACTTTATTTCATCTCCTTCCTTGGAATAGAGGAACGATTTATACAGAGCATTGGCATTCAGATGTGCCCTTCAGCCATTCATTCCAGTTTTCTCTGATTATGTTAGATATTTCTTATGTATTTCAAGGAAATATT